TCCACACATATAATTAAACTAGCATGAGTTCCCATTTTATTTTCAATCTGCAGTGAATCTGTTTGTAAACCAAGTCCCTGCCCCTTACAATATTCAGTATCCAAAACCTAGAAATGACAGATCATTTCTAGGATATAAAGTACTGGTGTGAGCCAGACTGCATATCCTGGAGCAGTTAGCTGACACCTTGGGTGCTGCATAACAACCTCAACCACCCACGGAGGCAGTTTGTCCCAAAGTGCAGCACTCGCTGCGTTTAGCTCTCCTCTTTGATTTTGACGCCACGCCACGCTCCACATCCTGTACGCCCCTGCACAGAGCGCCTGAGGTCCCATCTGAGAAGCGAAACAGCGGGGGGGGGGGGCACTTTTTCCTCCCCCGCTGCATGACAGAGACTAACTGCACAGTTTGTGTGCAGCGCTACAGTTATCTCACGGTGTACGGCAGCAGCAAACTGAGGACGGTGGCAAATGTCCAATGTCAAACTTTTACGAGAAGAGATTAAGTGAGTAAGAGAACCTCATCCATTTTGGTTTTCCGATCCACAACTCAGCTCTCAGTCAACCTGGTTTCCAGCAGCAGCAGCAGCTGTTGTGAAAAAGCCCAGCAAACAGCAGACACACGGTCAGAGAGCAGCTGGAGTGGAGACCAAAAACAGAGCTGAAACAGAGCATCCACTGATATGTTTATATCTGTTCAGTTAACCAGGCGAATTATCAGCTTTTATTTTACTACATTCTACATATAATTATTCAACTGATGCAACAAAGGATTTTAATTGCTGAAGTGAATCTGATCATGATGGGACGTTCTCAACGTCTGTCGTGGCTCTGGAGAAGTTTTGATGAGTCTGAAGAAAGAACCCTGATGACATCACAGTGAGGTCGTCACAAAATTGCAAAGACATAAGCAGGGTTAACGTCTAGCTGGAGCTAATTATACCAGTCTAACTTCTTCTGCAGGTGTAATCACTGCACTTAAGTATAACTGAAACACATTAATTGTAATGTGTGATATAGAAAAATACAGTCTGCTCTAACTTGGATGAGAATTTACTGATTTGCATGTGTTTTAATGTTAGTGTTGATTTTTCTTAGTAAAGTCATGGGAGCTCGACAGGCTGCACCTGCAGCTGTTCCATAGTCCAGCATCACGATAAGAGCCGGTGGACTTTTATCGTGGTTTCAGTTCCGTTTTCAGAACTGTTCCACCCCTGAATGAATCTCACAGTATTTCTGTCTTTCTTTTTTTTAAATCTCTCTCTACATTTCAACCTTGTTGAGCATCCCATCAAAAGTCACCGTTTAAGGTGTATTTTAGTTCACATTGCGCTCACGCTGTGCGTTTTCCAGAACAAAGCCGTGTTTAATCAAATTAAACGAAAGAAGGTGGCCGGGGGCAAAATGGAAACTTTGAAGAAAAGGGTTTGATTTCTATCAGGAATGCAGAAGCCGAGCTTCTTAATTTAGATTCGTCGGGCAGAGGGACAGAGATTCAAAGTCAGCCTATATGTGGAATGCATGTTAAATGCACAACTGCCATAGTGGATAAAAGCATCTAAAAATAACTGGGAAAAAGCCGGAGGAGAGGTCCATGTGCCAGCTCGCAGCGCTGGCAGCAGGTCAACCAACTGTCACAGATGCGTCTCTCACGTGTCTGAAGCAGAAACAAACATGATGCAAGGAAGCAGAGCGGTGAAGGAACAACGATCTAACTGAGTGATCTTACTGGTTTAATAACCAGAGCCCTTTACCTTGGGGCAAACTTTTAACTCCAAAATGAGTTGATCGCTCCGATTCATGTCTAGTGCCAGCTCTGAACGAGTGATTCCATATTTGTTCTCTTAACAACCACAGGTTCACTGATATAGAATATAAGTTTCTCCATACAACGACAAAAGGTCAAATTTTCCAATAGGAAATGACCGTGCGTTCAATGCCAGCTTTCTGAGTTTTTGTCGTGCAACAGACACATTCAGTTCAGCACCAGAAATGTTTTCAGGTTTGTTATCCAGCTCTCAGAGGCAGAAATAAAGAGCGTGTCGACCTCCAGACTCTAGAAAAACAACATCTTACCATCTGAAGAAAAGAAGCAGTATTACAACATTCAGGGAAAAACACTGAAATAGCTGCCATGATGCAACTTCCTGCTGATCTCTGCACAAGCTGCACTGTGTCCCAAATCCACACCGCACATTTTAGAACCAGAAACCATTAGAGGATTCTTCAAGTTTATTACAACCTGGTTTCTGTAGGTTTGTCCATCTTTTCTACTGGTTATGAGAACATGGTGCACGACTCAACTTCACTGGTCAAGTATGTAGCACATAATTCAATATATAGCATACACGCAGTGAAGAGAATGTTTTACAGCACCAAAAAGAAAAAAGACAAACAGATTTATGCAAAATTAAACATAAAGCAATCGCATACAGGCTGGGGTTGAACAACAAATAATGAATCGATGTTTGCCTGGCTCGCATCAGCGATTATCAAACCCATGTTGGTTTGGTAGCTTTGTCACATGAGCAGTAACAGGTTTTTTCGAAAAACAGATTTAAAAGTGAGACTGAAGTTAATGCAACTCTATCAAAGTCACGTCACAATCCAATTCATTTCAAAGACCTGTTTTCAGACATTTTAAATTCATGTACGGGACTTTTTTTTAAACAACACTTTGAAACACTACATTTTTAATAGCGCGGTATATAAATCAATATTTGAATATTGCTGGGATAAGTGATGCACTTTAGGTTACTGTAGGTTTGCAATGAATACAGGGAATTAGGCAGTTCAATAAAAGTGTAAATATGTCTGATTTGTATGAAAAACCAAACCTTAATGGTGTCTTTAACTTCTAGCCGTCAGATAAGGCTCATGGGTGGCTGTTCCTTTAGCCATTAATTAAGCTGCATTACACACGTATGTGCATTAAATCCACGAATGATTTCATGCACATCATCTGGAGGAATTTCACCCTCCATGATCTCCCTGTTATTCCATCATTCTCTACATAAACCTGATGATTCTGTCACATTTACTCGATCACCAAAAACCTATACAGCAGATATATACAACAGGGGGAAAATAGTTTTCCTGAGGGTCCGCCATGACTTGAGCGAGATGCAGCACTTTATAAACATAATATCCACGTCGATCTATCACTACGACAGGAAGTCTTGCACATCGACACACCCTCCTGCACTCTCAGTTCTTCAGTACACCGCTTGACCACCATGGGATCTAGAGTCTTCAGCCGCTCTGCTTCCCCCACCGCCTCTGGAACCCCCCACCACCACCACCAGACTTCCGTCACATTGACTCTCTCTCCATTTTCAAATCTCGTCTCAAAACCCATCTTTTTAAAACTGGCTTATTCAGTCTGATCGTTTTCCATCCGGCCAACGTACATTAGGTTTTATTCACTGTTCATTTTATTTATCTTTTCGATACATTGGTTTTTTTTTTGTTCTGTTTTTATCTCTGCTTGGTAAGGTGACCTCGAGTGCTGTGCACTCAGCAGAAATGGATTTAGATCTATCTGCTTGTTCAGTATTATTAGACATTCACTCAGATATATTTAGATCATGTCACTTATTCTGTTGTCCAAAATAATGTTTCAACGCAAACTGTCAGTAAAACAGTTCCTGTTACATGTATAGAGTTTTATCTAATATGATATATAACTACAGCTTTCTTGCATACATTTACCAAACTGTGTCACTGCAAACTCTTCTCCACAACGTCTGTTTTTCAAATAAGCATATCTTGAAAGATTCACCTTTCTGTTCATACCTTTGTACAAATGCTCCTGCAAAAACTGAACATCGTTTTCAAGCCAGAAAGGGAAGAAAGAGAGAGATCAGTGTATCACTAACATGATGTGACCATGACGTGGTGCACGGCAGTCATCCGACAGTGAGACACAGGCCGAGGCAGGATAACAGTGCAGCCAGATCACACGTCTCTGACAAAATCACCTTCATTATGAATCATTAGCAGAGAGACCCAGCCTCTGCACTGGCTTTTACAGCCCGAGCATGGCTGCACACAGATGCAGGCGGATGTCCTTGTGTGATATTTACTATTCCCCAGTGCCTTGCTGCCCCACCTTTTTACAAGACAAGGAAACAAAACATCAGCACGAGAGGTGGGACAGCAGGGCCTGCAGATGTGCAACAAAAGCAGCATTGTGCAGAACACATGCAGCTCCTGTTAAACAGGCTGCACAGTGCAGGTGGAGCTCTGTTTGCAAAAGGTCTGCATGAAAACTCACTTTCCAATTTCGCATTTTTCTTTTTTCCTGATGCCAGATTTCTGTTTTGGACGAGTCAGCAGTTTCCTTTAACCCCCTGACAGCTCCATCAGCGCTGCACCTCTCTGAGCTTCACTCAGAAACACGGGGATTCTCTGCCAGTTGGTCACAAGAGAAGAAGTGAGTCCCGCCTCAGCTTCTGCTGCGGCTCATGTGCCAAGGTTAAGACAGCTGGAACCATCATGTCACCAGGATCCGCACAGTTACACAATACTGCTGGGATTTTACAAGTGCGATCGATAAGTCCCGATCACTTTTTCACAGGGCGTTTCTTTCACATACATCTGAGCCGAAACACCCTCAGGACCCATGATTGAATCATGTGCAGCCACATTAACGCTCCAAAAGTCCTCCAGCACCAACATGGAAGGAAGCTGCAAACACTGCACGGCAACTTTTATGTATTTATTTAATTAATTCATCAAAAGTTTTAGGCACGAACGCACAGACGAACGAATCCGACGCGTTTGCCTTTTTGTCAAACGCTGTTCATCACGCTGTCTGATCGAGGTGCGTTCCCCGAACAGCGAAAACGAACAATTATGACAAATCCCTGCGACGCACTCTCGGCGAACTTTTTTTTTTCCCCTGCGTAAAGGATGTTAGCGCGGGTGTCCGATCACAGGCAGTCGGCAGACAATCATCGCTTGAGCACAGAACGCAGCCGTCGCGTGTTTGCCACTCACCCAAACTGTTCGTGGAGGAATTCATAATCCGAGGTGTGAACGGGAGGAAGTTTCTGAGATGTCAAGTCTGCGGCGAGGTGTTGTCCATGCTCAGAGAGGAGTGTCAGGAGTCACGCACCGCAGACATGAGTCAAACTGCCCGGTTTAATAACACACGCACCGGAAATGTGGGTCCTCGAAATAAAGCACGTGGTGTGGGTGCGAGTGCATTGCCTTCATCGACCGAACAAAAACAATCGAAATGCAACATGGATAAAAAAATAAGAGAGCAAAGAAGAACGACCTTTGTGTAATCTGCGTTCTTTCACAAGAGACATAAACATATGAATTAAAATTAAAAATGTATATAAAATAAAAAGCTGCAGGCCAACACACCCCTGTGTTGTTTCCTAGATTGCAATTCATTTTATACCATTCAAAGAAGCCCACACAATGATTTAACTGTCACAGCAAAACAACACAGAACAAAACTCATTTCATTGTTGTTCCTCAGTTGTTTATAGAACTAATACAAATTCTTTCATTCATAAACCGCACATGATGAAGATGAAGTGTTAAATAGTTCTGATCGATGAGGAAATAAATGCGTTTAACGAGGATATTTTTAAAAACAGACACGCTCGTTGAGTTTGCCGGGCACATGTACCGGAAGTGATTCCATCTAGCTTGACCCTTTTCGCGGTAAAGTCGCCGTGCACAGACTCATCGTGATTTTTTAAAACGCAGCGTGCGTTCCCTCCGTCCAACACGCGTACTCTCTCAGTCACCGTGGCTCAGCAGGTGTCAGAGTGTGTACAAGTACAAGAGTTTTCCAGCAACGACACAGCTGTCAGGCTGAAGTCGGCGGCTGTCAGAGTCCCGCAGCCCACGGTGACAACTGGCACCGTCCACGTGGAGTTTGTCGCCACCGCGCGGCGAGCTTGTGTCCTGCGCCGCCCACTAAAGTGGGCTTTAGTGCGGCTGCAATTCGAGTCATCCTCCTCGGTCAGTTCCTGCTCATTGCATGAAAGCTTTCAGGAAGCACGAGGATGACGCACACATTTTCTGAATGATGGGAGACTGGTCTTCATGTCGCGAAGCATTAAATCTATTAAACTAAATTCAAACCGGTTTTTTTTTTAATGACAGGGAATTCCCAGGCGCAGTCGCAGACTAAACCAAATTACCTCATTTCCCTTTGGGGATGAATAAAGTAATCTATCTATCTAAAAGGAAGTGTGTCCCACTACTAAGTGCCTTGGTCAGTGCCATTTCCTGAGTTAAAGGCCCCAGAGTGTATCATTTAGGTGAAAGGGATCTATTGGCAGAAAGTGAATATACAATAATCCTAGTGATGTTTTCACTTGTGTGTTTCATCTAAATTGCACAAATTGTAATTTTCTTTCCCCTAGAATAAGCTCTTAATGTTTTATAACTTTATATTTACATGGAGGCCACCATGTTTTTTACAGTCGTCCAGACTGGACAAACTGAACACCTTTTGGGTTCGTGTATGACATCTGAAGTCTACCACAGGTTCTCTGGCATGTTTGTAAGGGGAGGGTGAGGTGAGGGGTGTTCAACTGCAACTTGCAACTTCACCACTAGATGTCCCTAAATTCTACACACTGAACCTTTAAATAAGGGGCCACTGGGAATCGTTTGCTTCGGATCTGTCCATATCCACATCTGTCTTTGAGAGCAGATTTGCCCATTATCCTCATGGCATTTTTTTTTTTTTCTTTAAATACTTTCACACTTTACTTCTGCTTCCGGTCTAGGCTTAACTGTACTTTCTGTTCTAAATGAGAAATGAAAAAAAGGATTTATATGCAAAAGCCAAAATACACACATCCTGAGCTGCATTTCATTCTTTAGTACCAAAAGATCAAAATCAAAATTCAAAAAAGCAGTTTTGATTGTTTTTAAAAAAAAAATTTAATTCTGATACCACAAACGTTTTTGGTTTTGAAATAAATAACAGATTTAGGGTTTTATAGTTACAAATCAAACCAATAAGTATTTGTGTGCTCTAAAGTTGGAATGTAGAAACAACACGCCCGCTTCAAAGTGTGCTGTTAACATACATGTTATTAATTATTGTAAGAACAGCAAGGTGACAGCTGTTTCCAGTAATGTATAGTTTCACCAGAAATGCTATCAGGGACACTGAAATAAGTAATAAATACAATAAATGTCTGTTTAAACTATTTCAGTTAAATCTATGCGGATACAACAACTCAGTAACATATTACAACAGTAATAGCGGAATCAATTTTGAGCAAATGTTTCTGTTGTTTGGGGGAAGAGAATGTGCGCAGGACCAGGAAGTGCTCACGGCTTTCCAACATGGCGGCGTCCACTGAGAGAGCTTTCTGAAGGAGACCTATTTCTTTCTTCATTCGTCGACTGGTTGGTACTGAGTACAGGATTAATACATATACACATGTTAGTACATAAATCATGTGATACTGAATATTGGTTTGTTATACTAAGGAGCCTGACTCTTCACTACCACTGGCATGTCACATGTGGAACTTCATGTTTTGTGTTTCCTCCTCTCCTGACAACTATGTCTGGGTCACAGACGTTGACTGAATAACGCTTATGGACAAATAAGAGCTAATCTTCTGTTCTGTTTGTATATTTTCATATTCAAACATCAGATCCAGCAGCTCTTCACTGTGTGGTCAGTATATTTACAGTTTCTGAACCCTGCACACGTCTTGTTCAGTGTCTCTGTGCTGCCCTGCCCCCCATGAAGGTCGCTGTGATGGTTCGGCCATGAAGTGTGTCCGCTGCCTGCTCCGGCTGCGGAGCCTCAGACTGGTGGGTCAGTCAGCCAGGTCTGCTGCCCGGTGTGGTGCGCCGCTGCAGTCAGCCTCCTCCGCTCAGCCCAGTGTGCTCCACCAGAGCCAGCAGCAGGTCAGCTTCACCCCCTGCACACACACACACACACACTGTTCAGCTCACTGCACGAGGATGACGCACACCTTTTCTGAATGATGGGAGTCTGGTCTTCATGTCGCAAAACATTAAATCTGTTTTACTGAATTCAAGCCTTAATTACATGGAGTTTGCAGACCAACAAGGAATGTGTCCCACTACCAAGTACTGCAGGTGTGGCTGTCCAAAGCCAATGTCTCTTACTCCTCCTCTGTGTTAAAGAAAACACATGGGTGAGACACGGTGTTGCTCCAGGAGACATGGTCCTTCACCATGAACACACACACTGCAGTGTATTTAGACTCTATCTCACCCACCATCCTGTTTACTCACTAGAGCACTGAATGTGGATGAATCATCCACCGCTGAAAATAGAAGCAACCAATTGACACAGACAGAATAGAGGAGTCAGAAAGTGTTTGGACACAGTCACATTGTTAGTCCGGGTCTTCACACGGGATTTGTTGAGAATAGGAAAAATAATAGATTTTTATTTAACTTCTTAAGGGCTGTTTTTTTCCCCCCAGAGCTAGTTTTCATGACCATGTCAAATGCAAATCAGTTTATATTGATAATGAATGACCACACTGGGAGGTGGAGTGAAATGCCAGGTCTTCATAGAGAGGAAGTGTCACTGAAAAACAGGGATGCTGGTGCGTATTTTCGTTCAGCCTCCAAGAGGACTTTTATAGGGTTGCATTCTGTTGTTGCCGTCAAACGTTCGACAAATAGTTGCAAGCTCTGGTCAGAATGAAATACTTAATGACTGATTGGAATTTATTATCTGTCTGAGCAGTTTGTCAGACGGTGGGAAAATTTGCCACAGACGTCCAACAGGGAGGTCACATTGAGACCCTGTTTTCATTCTGTCTGGAGAGGACTGAGTTTATATTCACACTGTCAGATGTCTCCTTCAGAACCAAACTTCAAAAAATAGTTTTTAATAATCAAATACAAAGCAGGCTATTTTCTGATATTTAAAAGTGGCTACAACATTATGGCAGACCCTAATAATTTCAGATTATATCTTCAATATCTAAACTGAGGATTTAAAATTCTCTAACCCTGTAGTCTAAATGTTTTGTTATCTTTGATAGAGCCAAAAATTATCAGGACAAGTTATGGTGTCATTCAAAATCAGCATTTAAGGGTTTTAAAAACTCTGATAAGTTTATCAAATGCTGTTAACTGTAAACATTTTAAATTAATGTTCCTTATTTGTGTTTTATTAAGTAGGTGTATGGTTTTTTTTTGTAAATTTGTGTTACTTGCTGAGTGACATTCCCACTGATATCTTTCTTTCCTCTTTTTGCTCAAATATCATCTTAGTTTTCAGTTCACTGCAGATGTTGGTTACACTGTACTGTTGTTTTGGATGCTCCTGCCTCATATGCATGTAAACAGATACAAATGATCTCGTAGGTGCTGAGACATTTCCACGCCAGCCCAGCGTGCGCCAAGAGTCAGCCTGAACCTGTGGACAATGAGAAGAGGGACAAGTCTCTGATCACCGACGATGACCTTTTCGAGCGGGTGGCTAAAGATGCCAGGACCAAAGCTACGTTTAACAAGGTGCTGGACGTCTTCATCAAGAGAGACATCAGAAGACGGGGCCATGTGGAGTTTATCTACGCTGCCCTGAAGAAGATGCCGGAGTTTGGCGTGGAGCGAGACCTCGCCGTCTACAACAAGCTTCTGGAGGTTTTTCCCAAAGAGGTGTTTGTGCCCAGAAACTATATCCAGCGAATGTTCAACCACTATCCTCGACAGCAGGAGTGTGGAGTGCAGTTACTGGAGCAGATGGAGAACTATGGTGGGTATCTGTTACAAGATTCAGTCTCCTGAGCCTATTCCTGGAATTCTTTGGAATTTAGACCGTTACTCTAGACAGGGAAAGATCTGGATACATTCTCTCAAGATGTCGGGAAATATACTGTATATACATTTTACAGGAATTTACAGTGTCTAGTGTATAACTTCATTTTAAATTGTTGTATTCCAGGTATTATGCCCAACATGGAGACCAAAGTCTTGCTGGTTCAGATTTTTGGAGAGAAGAGCCACCCCATTAGGAAGTATCAGCGCATCATGTACTGGTTCCCCAAGTTCAAGCACATAAACCCCTTTCCCATCCCCCATCAGCTGCCGGAGGACCCTGTGGACCTGGCTCGCTTCAGTCTGACTCGCATCGCAAACGACCTGGACGCAAAAGTTACCGTCTTCCAGGTACAACTGTTTTGACTTTGATGTCTGTGGGTTCAGGATGTGTTTGACCTAGCTTAGCTTAAAACGGCTAGGCTGGTTCCGTTCAAAGTCCAATTTTACACATGTGTGGCAAGAAACAGTAAATGAACCTAATAATCTGTGTTTATGTCTAAATTTGTATACATGTATACAATGATCATCTAAGGTACAGCAAAGACACGCAGTCAATTTGAACTCTTAGGAGGACAAGGGTCTTTAGAGACCGAGAATATCATTTTTACCTACTCCGATGAGTATCTTTATGAAAGATATACATTCTCATCGGGGGAATGATTAACTTTTGTGAGCTGCTGGAGCAGAATATAACCAACCCGACGTGTAGGAGCACTCTCTACGTTTCTTACTTGTTATCTACTGGGTAGGTTGAGCTTGCTTCATAGTACAGGCCCCTGGAGTCAATGAAGGCAGACTAGGAGTGTGCTGGAGTTTCTTTGATTTATAGAAAAGTTAACAGTCAAAATGCTGTTCATAAGAAGAATCTGCTGATGTGAGCCAGGTTTTTGAGGACGATGATGATTTATATAAGCTGGGAAGTGTGAAAGTTTGTGGTCACCACCACAATGTTAACACTGACTACCACATATTTATTTTCTTTTTCTTTCTTTTTTTTTACTATATCAAACCTTATTTCATTGTGAAGCTGCGTGCACTCAGCCACTGTTTATTATATCGTATTTTCGTTGTCATCAATCAAATCCTCTTTGCAAAAAATGAATAACGTCTGTTCCTTTGTTCTTCCCACCAGCTGCCCTGTACAGATGTTACAGTGAGCGGAGAAGAAATAACACTCCCACATATCGTAGGTATGGAAACAACTCGTCTCAAGTTTGACCATTGAGCCTTATATTGAGCTTTATAAGATTCCCAATCTTCATTAACTTGTGTTCAAGATCGCTTAAGTCAAGGAATATAATATCTCAACATATATATTATATGATATATGTATTCTTTGACACATAATACCAGTTTTTTTTTCATCTTAGCCATGGAAAGTATTGAAAACAATTTTTAAATGAATACAGTGGTGGGGTCAAATCCATATAGACCTGGACTGTACCTCACTGCCTTTTTTTCCTCATCTTCCTGCTCTGTCACCAGGGACCCAAAGCCCCAGCCAAATGGAGCTGCTGGCCAAGCATAACCCGAGCAGGCCTGTGTTTGTGGAGGGCCCCTTCCCCCTGTGGCTGAGAAAGACGTGTGTGCACTACTACATCCTCAGAGCTGACCCCATACCGCCTGATGAAAAGGTGGGGAAACCCTGTTGTCACGCACGTTTTAAGTAAATCGCAGTAGAAATATTATTGCACTTACTGTTGAGTAAAGTCAGTGTTAAATAGTACCGTATTTCGAATATATTTAATAAATGATTTTATCATCTTTGAGGGAACATAAAAAAATACACTACACTATGATTTCTTACATTTTGAGTAGATGAAATCCATTATTTCATAAAACCTGAATTCATGTCATTGTGTAACATCTTGTGAAACATCAGATCAACTAAATGTCCTTTTTTTTTTAGATTATATCCTTTTTAATTGCATGTAATGACTATAATTTCAGCACAAACCAGGATCTGCTGGACATGTGTTCTGGGAAAACACTGCAAATGTAAAATCCTACTACTATTACAGAGTTGTACACAAGTCAGGGGCCTCCACTGTATATTCAACCCTCACAGTTATATTCAGTACAGTAGTATTGCTGTGAAATATTTTGCAGTCACCAGTGGCAACTTAAATATGAGACCTTTCTTGGCTGAAGTAAAGCTTTTTCGTAACTTTCCTCTGTCATGGTGGCTGTAGTTGAGAGTGGTATTGGCAAAGCACTGTTACAAAGCAATTTATATAGTTGAAACAATATTAAAACATTTCAGGACTAAGGCAAATAAAGAAACGAAACACAGTCCCCCAAGTGCTGCTCATTGTGGGAACTGTTGGGCTTCTCTAAGGTCTCGACCTTACTATGTAGAGCACCTTGAGAGAAAGTGTTTTGTATTATACAAATAAAATTGAATAGAAATTGAAACATTTAAACACAGCATTAAAAAAGCCGCAGGCTCCCCTATTTACTCTCCCCATTTCATTGAAAAACAAAACAAATAAAATCAGTTTAAAAAACGTGTGTAGGTAATAAAGACCGTTTTTAAAGCTCAGTCGAAACAGTAAAGACTATGGCGTGTTGTTTGACCAGCTTAATGAATGAATGTTGATTATCTGTGGCTCACTAAACTCCACAGCTGCATTTGTCTCAAGAGCTGGAGACTTTGATGGATGTGATAACAGCCTCGTGTGCCCTCTCCTCTCAAAACAGATTCCCTGATCGTTTTCTTTTGTTTCCCATTTAGAACTGCGTGACTGATTTAGTAGCTCCACTGAAGTCTGCTGTGGTTATTTTTCAGTAACTGAGTTGTATCTGTGTTTCCCTCCTCAGGTCGAGGAGCCCTATGATCCAGAGCGATGTCTGGACTATCCTCTGCAGTTAGACCTGGATTTGGACCGTGACCTCGGAGACGAAGAGAGCTTTGATGTAGAAGAATGTAAGAGATTTACACCCTTCCATGTGGTGCTCTTACTTTAAAGCAACCATTGTTTTCGTTGTGTAATTCAGCTCTTGTATGTGTGTTGTGTGTCCAGTGGACGAGGGCCCGGTCTTCGCCCTGTGTATGACCAGTCAGGGAGACCAGGCCACCCTGAACCAGTGGATCTCTGGCCTCCAGCAGAACAACCCCATACTGGGTCAGGTCCCCACTCTGTTTCGTCTTGACGCTGGGCCCCGGGAGCTGCAGGAGTCAGCTGCCACAGAGTCAGGTCACTCCCACAGGCCTGAAGCAGAGACCATAAAAGAAGAGTCACGGCATGAAGCAGAACCTGAAGTTATAGTGGAAGAGGAGCTAAGGAGGAGCCAGGGGATAAAACAGTGAACAGCAGTCAAACTGGCTAAATAAATCATGACATACTGTCCAGGCTGGGTAAGAACTGAACTTGTGGGAGGCACAGGTTTGATAAACAAGGCAAAGCTGCAGGACTCTTAATAATGTTGCTAAGATCCAGGAATGAAAAAAAAATGAATTAAAACCAAACTGTGCTTCTCCATTGTTTTTTGGGCTCATTGTTGGGGTCACAAGGAGTCGATCTAAGGTGAGGTTCTTTTAAAATGGCAAAAACAATTTGTCGGTCTGTTCTTAGTTCCTTGAGTATCCATTTAAACATGCAACTTTGTGTGTCACATGCAGCTGTCATGTGACACCAGTTGAGCTTCAGTTATTGTTGACACACAACAATGAACTGAGCTGAAAAAGCAAATGGTTGATGGACCGTGTTAAAAGCGCTTTTCACTACAAGCCACATTCACCCATTCACACACACACATTCACACACCATATGTCATGGACGGCCTGATCTACCCCCCCGAGCTGCAATGTAGCACGACTTACTTTTTGTTGTTGTCCTCCATCTTCATTCAAGTAATATAGCACAACATGGTTCCTCGTGGGCATTAGTGCAAAAAGATAACATGCAAACACATTTTTCAGCTATGTAGATATCAACACACAGTAATTATGGAATATAAATCCAAAGTATAACACAAAGCAACAACACAGTAAATGGGTAAAAGTAATAGGACAATTTATTGTTAAAATAAATACTGTAATTTATTCCCAAATACCTGGAAATAAAGAAATTCTGAGATTGGGCCTTGTATTCATCTTTTGATCTGGAGTGTGCAACGAAAACAATGGAGCTGCCCTCACTGTTCCACTAGTCCTGGTGGGGGGGTGTATGTCATCATATATGTTGTATCATAGTAGAAGGAATAATAAATTACCTGGGAATTAAAAGATGAATCAAATAAAACAATAATCAACACTAACAGTGCACCGGTGCAGCCACAAGTCTCTGCAGTCCAGCAATTAGCGGGACTAATATCCACAGGCCGACAAGCACTGAGGCCACTTTCTGATTCACAAGGAATCTGGTGAGAACTGAAGTATGCTGCCAGAATCTGCAACATCAGAAATGATGCGAGGCAGAACAAGATTAATGCATCAACACTGAAGCTTTAGTTTGATAGAGCTCCCCAGAGATGGCTGACTTCAGCTGCTCCCAACTCTAAATGATATTTTGCCGAATAATAAAGAACAGTGAAATGTTGAGTGTGAGTTAAATCATAAGCAACACAGGGTACTCTCTTATCGTAGACACACCATTTGAAGAGTTTTAATATTCTGTGGATTCCACAGGATTTTACCACCTTCTGCCATATTTTTATTTTGACAGTTACAGATTTTTGAATCTCTTTTAATTGGACTGCAATTGTGGCTTGTGAGGGTAACATTTTCCATTTGGCCTTGTATTCTGAATTGCACCAATACAGCATTGGGGTTAACTCTGCAGAAACGAAACGGCTTCTTAAACATCGAAGTGCCATTCTTCCTTTTTCAACCTGTGGGATATTAAATTGGATTAGTGGTTTCCTCCCTTGCCAAATAAATCGAGACATCCTTCTGCTAAATTTCTTGGAGATTCATTAAGTGTTTTTTTTGTGTAATCTTACTTACAAACAAATAAACCAACCAACAAATAAACAGAAGGGTTAAAGCTCATCTTGGACTGAGGCAATTGCCTTGATGCATGTGCTTACTGAGAAATTTATAAAATTTGATGACAAGGGCAAAATCATTCCGCTCAACATCTGGATTAAAGCTGCAAATAAATTGACTGTGTGGTGAGATCATTTATTCCAACGCCTCTAATCTGTTTAAATGAAAACGCAACAATAAAATCTTCATTAGATATTTTGACCAAACTGAGACACAGGGTTTATAAAAGTTGGATGCATTTACTGTTATAATGCTCTATATTTATAAAGTGTTTTCTAGTCTAGTGAGCATCTACATGCACCAGTGTATCTTGCCCAAGGACACTTTGGCACGCGTAATGGGGGAGATGGGGATTGAACTGCCGACCCTCTGGTGTGAAGTGCGGTGGGACCAAATGCTTCTGTCTCATCTGACCTCCAATCAGTTTTATGTGGCCACGACAAAGGAATGATTGACCTGATACGCGGGAAAAAAGATGTCAAAGGACAAACCCAAAGGTACAAAAGGTTTATTACTTAAAAGGCATTGAAACATTCCCTTTGAACTGGTAAACAAGTCAGAATTACATTCTCAGAAGGTAAATTAGCTTGGTCACTTCCAGCTATTTACAGTGTTGTGGCTGTGCAGGCAGCTTCTCAAAGCAGAACTGACCTCCGCAGCCTTGTGCTCAAACAGATTTTTTTTTTTTTCAGCATTTTTCTCTACAATAATACAAAGAAAACATGGGAATGGTTTCCAGAGCTCATCTCTGGTACACAACTCTTCATCCATGTACTACTCATGCAGGAAAGCCTTTTGATCCTCAATACTCACAAATGAGATGCTTCTCTAACATGGAACTACCTATGGTTATGAATAATGCATCATCAATAATATAGAGAAGATTCAATAAATAATAAATTAAGTTGCACAAAGTCAAATAAAGATTTGGCATCTTATAATCACCTTTGTTTTTTTTGTGTGTATTTACAGTGCAGAGAACTTTACACGCGGTGAGGCTGACATGAACAGCAGGAGCGTTTTTTTTTTTTCAAAGAAATTGTACTATTTAAAAATTTGTCTCGACGAAAAAAAGTCGCAGAGGACATGTGTAAAGTTTAAGGTTCGAACAACACGGTGCTACCACATACAAAAACATGTGGAACAGTTCCTGATGCCAATATAACAATTCAGTAAATAATAAGGGTCTCAGACCTGAATCACACCTGCTGGAGTGCAGGAAAAACTTTATACAAATCTGATAGCAACTATCAGTTCATACAACTACACTACAGTATAAAGTGTTTTGATTCTTGTGCTGTATGTGTGTAGACACATTTTCTGATAGCTGGCTGACACTGGGATTCAATCTACATTTACTAAATAATCTACTATAAATATCTATAGTTTGATAATAGCTCTGATATGACTCCGACAACAGCGATTACAACACATCCTTCAAAATCTGACACTGCACCTTTATATTTTATACCATTTTATTCATCTGTTCGATCGTTCAACAATGTCTGATACAACCCTTCTCTCTGTTTTTAAGCTGTTTCATATCCCATAGTTGTCATTGAATCGTAAGGTAGTCGCTCTGGTGACTCATCATTGGTCTGACTTTAAAGCGAGTCCATGTAACTGTTGGACAAAAAAATTAAAAAGTTGAATTCATATCAGTGTAACAGACCCTGGGTTAATTCGTTAACCTCAGGGCTTTTCTGCCGCAGCCGTCTTTAATCTGACCTGTAGCTCGAACGTGACCACTGCTGCTGTGTCTGCTGGATAAATAAATCAACAGAATGAAAGCAAGCCTTGGGAGGGAAAACTAAAATCTTACGTTTCACCTGTAACTGTGCCACAGTGGGTTGTATTTTCAAGGGTACTTTTGTGATCTCAAAAAGTTTCAAGAATGACCTGAAATCCTGGATCTTTAAATCTAATATTTTTTTTGCAGCACTGGCCATCACCTCATCATGCTCGCATTAGCGTTGTGTGGAAGAGAAGTTGAACTGAGTAGCACAGTGTGCGTAAAACGATGCAGTCAAGGGTCTGGCTTAAGCAAAGCATTAAGCACAGTGGGATTACAAAAATATATTTAGAATTTAAAAATACCTTTGAAAGAACAGCCCACATCTAAAACAATGTGTTTTTTTCCCTTAGGGTTTGCACACTGCTAGTTATGTCTAATCCATCAGATTGGATTCATAGTTCGTGGCAAACATTTAAATAACTGGGGATTTTAAATAAAAGGAGCAAAATTCAAATGAATTAAAATGAATGTGTATTTGATTTTTGTCTACTAAAGAGATCCAGGGTGCATTTAGTCCATCTTAGCACAGAGACTGTGTTCCCCACAATGTTGGACCTCTCTATTAAATATTTAAATATTACAAAATCTCAGTTGTGGCAGCTTCAGTATAAAAGTGTCCGTACTGAAGAAACAATATTACAATCCTGGCGGGAAAATGAGGTAAAGCTGCTGTCAGGGCGAGCGCAGCATTCTTTTCAAGGTGACTTTCTATGAAGGTAAACAAATTGATTGAAAAAAAAAAAAAAAAAGAACAATAAATAAAGAAGACGACGCAAGTGTGGGGGTTCTCTGCGGGTCCAGGATCTTCAGTTGACTCCTGCAGGACATGTTCTCTTCTAATCACTTCCTGCCTTATTCTGCAAAACAAGTCAGACAGTTTTGGGATATGAAAAAAATGGCAGAGGTGCGTTGCATGGAGCAAACGTTGAGATGATGCTCTTATACAGTTCAACCAGTAGCTATTATTTCACAAACGTAGCAGGCCAAGTGAATAGGTTGTCAAACTGAGGGCCAAATATGTGTAATCTGTAAAGTAGTTGATAGTGATGCTGGATCACTTCAAGCCTCTCAGGTTGATATTTATTTATTATTTTAAACCAGTGACAGGAAATAGTTGAGTTGTCATTTCTTCAGTTTAAATTTACAAAGTTCACCCATTTCTAAGTTTGGCAACTCCAAGAGATAATCTAAGAACAGAGCAGTTGCCGACAGAAATTCAGTGCTGCTGTTAATGTTTCATACATTACATGTCGGCTATTTCAGAGGTCTGTTAACAATCAGTCACTCTTCAAAATAAAAGCACTGCAATTCAGCTGGAGGGCAGCACCCGCTAACTCTCATGAATGTCTCAGTCCAATGTTGTGAAATAAAAATGATCAAATCATCAAAATGATCCGACACGTGGTTCGACCCAGTTACCGACTGCTGCTGTGGTTTATCCGAGGATGTAGAAGAGACATTCAACTCGGTCCACAGGCTGTTATTGACGCTGTCCCGCCCGCACACACACAAACACACTGACTGCAACAGAGTGCTGATCGCCTGTTTATTCAACTTTCATGAATTTTGAACATATCACATATCCCCCGGGAAATTTAAAATAGACATGACAGGTGCGAAGTCAGTTAGATGAACGGATCGCTAGATAGGCGTTCCACCGACAGACAGACAAGACGTTTGTGGAGTTAGTGGGTGGATCATTCACCAAAAGCTTAAATTAAACCACTGCCTCTATTCAGATGGATATTGTACATATCCATCATGAAAGCAACTTTACATTTTATAGGAGGATTGTTTGGATTTTCCAAAAGTTACATAGTCTCACTGCAATATCCAAACCATATCATGTGACCAGTGGTTGTCATGTTGGAGCTGGGCTCTTTCACTACTTGAACAACCATGTGTATACAGCCGATAAACAATACATTAATAGCTACCTTGCACTCTCTACATGTCTTCTCTCTGAGGTCACGATGTACCGCTGTGCTGCTGGAGTTGGCTGGTGAAAAAGCGCTCCCGCTGGGACACCTGCTCGTCCCAGGCCTCCAATATTCGCCGTCTCTCCGCGGCTTCTAGCGTCAGGGTGTCTGGGTGGGCATCATCGATGTGGGCCCTCACGCCCTCCAGGCTGTGAGAGTACTGCAGCTCCCCACACACCATGCACACCAGCAGCTGGTTGAGTGGGTCGTAGTCCATGAGGTAACTGTACCTCCACACGCCGTCGGAGATGGAACCTTCCTCCCCACTGTTGTTCTCATAGTCAGTGAACAGCAGCTCTGGGTCGTCTGTGGGGACAGTAAAAGGAGAGTAGGTTTTGTGCTAACTTTGCCTTTGTGCATTCTTTAGGTTCAGTGTGACAGCATTAATACTCCACCTTCTTCCGGTGCTGTGTAATTTGGATACGGAAATGATTCCTGGTCAGTGTCCACTGAAGTGCTGTGACAGAAGGAGAACAGTTCTATTAATCTCCATCCTACACAGAGCCTGTAGCAGATGTGACAAAGGGAAACAAAGCTCCCACCTCATTAGATGTTCTGACTCATCAGAGGAGCTCAACCACTGACCAGAATCCTACAGAGGAAAAAAAATGAACAGAATTAGGTTCACACTATGTTTCCCAATTCAGTTTTTACTTCTTGCTGTGCTACATTAAACATTCAGTCACTAATAAGAGGCATTAGATAAGCCAATGAGCATAATCTAATTTACATATATAATAATCACAGAGAGACAGACATAGAAAGAGAAGCTGGAGGCTGAGCAAACAGTTGAGCTCATGGTGGAAGCCTTTTCATATTACATCTCATTGTAGTTGACTATATGGTGGTAGTGTGCCTCTTTTGTTTGTCTCTTTGAAATTGCCGTGTGCCTCTATACAGTTTTTTTGTTGTCGGCTCGCTCAGGGCTGTAAAATTCATACTGGCGCTGTGGTCAGAAACTCAAAATAATCTCCCTTCCAAACCACTATTCTTTGACCCCAGCAGAAAATGTCACGAGGTCAAGGAAAGGTGTGAAGGGGAATGCCTCGTCGGACATTTTTAGTTCAGGCAGAGAAAAAAAATGTAACCATCAGTTACTCACAAGAAGAACATCTAACAAAAAAAAAAAACAGGATTTAAATGTTGAACTGATAACATGAGGAATATTAGTGGAGAAAACCTTACATCATTTGGGGAAATTATTTTCAGAGCATTCTGCAATTCAGGGATTAAAATGACTTTGATTATGATATTTAGATTTATATATTGTGAACTATAAATTCAATATGCCCATGACTCCCTCCTCAAAAAACAGCTGTTCTGCTTTTTTTATTATATTTATGTGGGTCTGTCCTGGTGCAACTAAGAGATTATGTCACTTTAAACATTGCTACCACAAAGAATTGTGGGACTGCATATTCTCCTTTTCTTTCATAAAGGATGCTCCAGTGTTTCCTATGCTAAAGGAGATCAAGTTAGGAAGCATTGAAGCTCCTTTCCTTATCATTTAGAGGATTTGAACAGCATTAATTATGGCGGCGGCTGAAAAACTAACTTTTGTCACTTCACTCAGTTAGGAAACTTCCGAAGCCAAATGGATTATTCAAATGCATCCTAGGACTTCTCAGCTTGTGTATGCTGAAAGCTGTTTTCTGCGGCTTTGGAGGAACTTTGACACGGTTCTAGAGTTGTTATCTTGAGTTTTGAGACAACAAATTTGAAACACAAATTATCACGTCTGTTCTTATCTCGCTACGAGCACAGACTTGTTCATTACAATCGACCTCGTCTGAACCATGAATAAAGTTCTTAAAAAGATATGAGAATAACACTGAGGGTCTGCGGGTAGAGTCAGTTACAGCGACATTAGAGTGAAACCGAAATAATGATCACATAACTAGAAAGGAAAAGAAACAGTGGATATTATTCTCTAACTCAAAAGTATAAGGCTAAAGACAAACTGTGAATAAGCAGAAGGACTTTATTAAGTTATTATTAAGTATTTCTCTTTTTGGTCTGATGATGAACAAACTATAATGAACATGTGTTACAGAAAAACAAATGTGACGTCAATGTTGCTGCTGCCAAAGCAGAGAGGAGGGAGGCGGAAGATGAGCTCAGTCTAACTGACATGTTGATTTATACTTATGGAAATATTCAACAGTTTGTGGATTGTTTTTTAATGAAATATAACAGAGGCTTTAGTTTTTATTTTTCTTGGTCTGATCTGCGGTAATAGAATAAAACAGTAAAAGCAAACACCGACAGGTTTTATGTTGGCTATCAAAGGATCTTTGGTGAATTAAAACCAAACTATAATACTATTGTAGTGATGCATTTATATAGTGATAATTTCTCCCTCTGTTAGAAGCTCTGTTATGAAACCATCCCGCTCAGCTATAATAATATCTGCTGATATTTATTGTTTCTCAGGTTACTGTTAACTCTTTCGTTCCTGTCAGGATCCTGTAGACCGGTGACTCTGGTTTTCCTGTGTGAAAGGAACCTAACATGCTCTGGGGCTTGTCAGTGGTTTAGCATAAGTTACCATGGTGATTTTGTCCAGCTAGAAGTGAACCAGCTTGGTAGGACTGCAAACAGAGTTAAAACTGAAGATACCTCCATAACCACAGATCCTGCTTTGTAGTAGCGGACTCAGGTGGGGGCCGAACAAAATGGCACTGTCTGACTAGTGGCATTATGGGAGTTGTAGGATCTAATTTCTTTGGAACTTGACCAACTAGTGATTTAAAGTCACAATATTTCAAATTTGATATGAGTCTCTTTGTTAAAGGCTGATTCAAGATGAATAATGATTACACTTTATGATATCAGAGATGGTTAGAGGATATATTTGCACTGTACCAGAAAATATACCAAAAAAATTGGTTTTAATTTTTTCATTCACATAATCCATACACAAGGTAACCAGTCTATGACAACAACCACTGTGTGGGGAAACTATCTAGTGCTCACTGGTTTAAATGATCATAATAAAGTACAGATAGAATAAAGCAAGGTTTGGTTTCGGTTAAGCTGTGCTTTTATATCTATTCTGCTCTGTTTACACTGTCTCCCTATCTCTCTTTTATTTTCTTACTCTCACTTTCCAATACAGCATTAAGGTTTCTATTCTTAAACCTAAAATAGAGATTTAACCCACAAACCGACTGCATCCTACCTTTATCATCTAGTTGATTTTTATATCTGTGTAGCTCTTACCTGTGCCGGTGCGTCCTGTGCAGGTAGGATGGGCCTCCAGTCTTTGGCAACTCTCTTCGTGGTGCCTGCCTTGTCCTGAATGGCCTTCCGGGCTCGCTGCTCCTTCTTTTTTATCCTCCAGTACTCTCGCTTCCTCCTCAGAAAGTCCTCCTCAGACTCCCCGGGGATTGGTTTTGGTGGAGCCATGGTGCTTACAGGCACCAGCTTACAGGGAGAATGCATCATATGTGAGGGGCTATGAAGCTGAGATGGGATTTTTATTGCACTGAGGGTGGGATCAGAAGTTTTAACATGGGGTTCAATGGGTTGCAGGTTGATGCTGGAAAGGGGGTTGTCTGGAGGCATCAGAGTAGGAAGGCAGGCTGAGTCCACATCTGTGCTCGGAGACATTGATATTTGAAAACGTGGCATGGCTTGCTGCTGATTCTCAGAAGCGTCTAGACAGCGTGACACGATCTGTGAAGGTCCAACGTCTGTGTTGTTCTGCTCACTTCTGGGTGAACAGGAGACACTGAGGACAGGCAGTTTCAACTGGAGTGCGTGCGGTGACTGTTCAGCATGACATGTTGTTGGGCTGAGAGCAGGGATGCTGGACACTGCTAGAGAGGCAATGGATGACTTGGATTTGAGAGCTGGCTTCACTTGAGGATTTACACGCTTAACATTGTTGAAGATACCAAAACCTGGAGCCTGAAAAACAGTAATAGAACATAAACAAAAACATTAAAATGCAAATTTAATATTTTTTGAGAAACACAAAGTGTTAAAGTGTCGAATTCCAGAGAAAGGTGTGCGGCTTCATCGTTCAGGTTTCATTTGGAGAGCAGTCTGGTCATGCCTGTGAGCCCTGAACTCTACTTTCGTTCACTGATATTGAAATACAGAGCAAGGGTCTGTCTTTTGAGGGTCAGTTCAAAACAATCAAGGTTCATTATCCAGTAATTACCAGAGACCCATAAAACTACACTAAGTTTTAAGGAATATAGTAACACAGATTGTATGGAGCCACTACGGGGACATGACCCAAAAGTATTTTTTCCAGAAGGTTATGGTGAGCATCAGTGCTGGATACTAAATTTTTTATTAAAAGCAGGTCAGCATGTTGTTTACATTCAGCATCAATAAATCCTATGTCGCTCAGCCTGTGGTCCATTGCTATAGCTTCTTGAGAGCTAATCGTCTAAAGAACACAGTTGCAAGGTGACTAACAGATAAGTATATGAAAAAGGAAGTAACTTCAATAGACAAGATAATAATAAAATGTGTCACTTCACCTGGGTTTGCCGACTGCTCACTCCTCCCTGCCTATCCTTCTGCCTGGCCTTTAACCTGGCCCTCTGCTGCCGCTTCATCAGCTTCCAGTACTCCCTCTTCCTCTGCAGGCTGGTCAAGCCGACCAGCTCAGTCCCCACGCTGTGATATCTTTGTGCTGATGGCGACATGCTGTTTTGGCACTCTTCTTGTGCCTGACACTGTTGTTCACCGTGTTCTTGCTGCGGGTGTAGCTCACCGACGGGCAGGTGATGGAGCTCTGGCGGCTCTGGGGAGCGGCGGTCTTGATGGTCCACCTTTTTAGCGCGAAGCCTCTGGGTTCTGCGTGGTGAGGACGGACCATCGGAGTCTTCCATGGAGGGGTTTAATGTGAATGTGGGAGAGGTTTGGGAGGCGTGCTCACAGGTGGGAAGCAGAATAACATCACTGGAGGTAGGAATAGGTGAAGGTGTCTCACTAATTTGTGGTGAGTTTTTGAAATGAGGGCTTGGTGAACGTGAGTGTACTGGGGCGTCAGTGTCTGGCTGCCAGCTTTTTATCTGCAACGTCAGGTTAGCAGCCAGAGGAGCCACCTCATCCTCTTCAAAAAAGAGCTGAGGTAAATTTGGCTTCATCTCTTGCTCTGAGGCCTCCTCTGCTGGCTCCGTTTTCATGTCAGGCTGCTGACTTTTACAGTCCCTCACTGTGCTAAGTGATTCTTCCAGGAGCTTCTTCATAGAGGCCACGGCTCGCAGAGTGGTAGCCTGGCTGTCTGCGCTCAGAGCGGGATCGGACTCTGGCTGGGGCGCTGGAGGTGGCGATGGCAGTGGCGGGGAGGTTGGGCGTTTGATATCTGGACAGATGGCTTGTTCTGGTTGAGAATTTAGGTCAACTGCTGGCACAGACTCAGTCTCTTGTTTTATCTCATTTGCATTTGGTGTAACGGGCACACTGTTGTCTGGGGGAGGTTGTGCGTTTTCTGTTGGGTTAGAGAGACGTTTGCTCAGTGGTGCAGAGTTCAATGCTACTTGCTTCTGGGCCTTTCTCCTCTGTAAGGCTGCATTGGCCCTCGCTTGTAAGACACCCTGCTTCAGTCGCGCCGCACGGGCTGCCCGCTGCTCACGTTTCTTTATCCTCCAGTACTCCCTCTTCTTTGCCATTCTCTCTTCCTCGGTAAGCCCTGGATCCAGAGACAGAGCCAGAGATTCAGCACTACTTGAAACAGCCATTTTCATGACGCAGCTCCCGAGGTTGGACCCTATCCTCGATCCTCCAGAAATGGCATTTTGACGGGTTTGAGGATGAGTGAGAGTCAGCTGCCCTACAGCTTGGGCTGATGGCGAGTGAGAATTAATTACAGTTGTGCTTTCACGTTGAGTCCTTGCTCTCGCTGACAGTAGTTTTGAATGTTTGTTGACTGACTTTCCAGAAAGAGGAAAAGAGACTTTCACCTGAGCTGGGCAGAAGGGCTGGTTTATTCTAACTGGGGTTACACCTCTTCTTCTCGTATGAGGCTGATATTGAGGCTGTGTAACGTGGGTATTGCTGGAACTTTGGACAAGAAGTTCTTCTTCACTTTTACGAGATGCTGTGTTGTGACATGTTGAAACCTGGGGGATTTTAATGGTCACTGTCCCATCCTCTTTGATGAACCCTCCTATGGTTTCAGACGCATGGGTGAGAGTGCTCCCTGCTGATTGTGTCAGTGCTCTGGCTTTCCTCATCTCCTCTAGGATATTCTGGTAGCGTTTCACTCTTCGCATCAGAGAGTCCCTCTCCTTCAACCGAGCTCTCACCTCCAGCGACAACTTAGCTCGCTGTTCCCTCTTTTTAATCCGCCAGTACTCTCGCCGTTTGGCTATTATCTGCTCGGGTGTGTCATTGGGGTCGATTCTGGGGATATTTCTGGTACCAAACACTGAAGCAAGCAGTGGGGACTTACATCTCATGTTTCTTTGAATCATCAAACTCCTCTGGGCTTCAATGAACCTCTGTCTAGGTGTTTTACATCGCACGATCCCTCTGGTAACATTGGAAAGATGTACATAACTTGGAAACCTTCTCAGCGTTTCCCCTGATTTTCTCACAGAAATAACGTCAGATGCAATTGCTGTCTGTGCTTTCCTGGTCTCATGTGGATTCTGCACTTTTATCTGCAGGTTAACTGTGGCCAAACTCGCTGCCCCAATTTGCAGTTTATCATTTCTCTTTTTGGCTGGCCTGAATGTAGCTCTGGCCTGAGTAGGACCCGCTCCTTCTAAAAACGACTGAGATGGAAGATGCTGACGTGCTGTGGGACCCATGTGTCTTGTTTTTTGTGCCATTTGCCTCTGTACCGTCATCTCTGTGGCCTGCGTCCTATCTCTGGCTTTAGCTATCTGAGCTGCCAGCTTTGCTCTCTGTTCTCGCTTTTTGATCCGCCAATGCTCTCTGCGTCTGGCCGCTCTCTCCTCCTCGGACTCTATGGAAGGTTGCGAGTTGCCGACACCTTTAGCTCTCTGTGTGGTGACCAAGGCACTCTTTGTTCCACTTGGAGGTGTTGTGTTCTCTTCTTTACCCTCTGTTTTTATGGAGATGGGGCCACATGGAGAGGACACAAGAATCCTACCCATGGCCACATTGGTAGGTGAGAGTTTGGGCTGACTGTGTGATGCAACATGTTGTTTGTGTTGCATTTTTAGGACTGATGTGCCTTGCATAGACACACGTGGCTGAGGTGTTGTTTGGGCAGAGCTGCCATTGGTAATTCTGGTCACTCTGACTAGAGGCACTGAGGAACTGGAGTTCAGCTGGGTTCCACTAGCTGTGGGTGAGGTAACGGCTCTGTTCACAGCCCCCCTTGTTGTTCTGCATTTTAACGTGGCTGTGTTGCCACTAGCAGCTTTGGCTGAGAGGGAACATGATGCTGGGAACTGAGGCAAGACCTTGTCGAGTTTCATTGTGTGGAACCACTTCGGCTTTTGGCTTTCAGGGGCTTCAAATGAACCCACTCCCAGTGCATTTGCACTATGGGATGCTGGGGAGACATCGGGTGTTTTATATGATTCGTCATTACTCTGCACAGGAGAAGAGGGAGCAGCTAAGCTACCAGATAAACTGGAATCCACCACTGCAGTGGTATTTAGATGTAGAAGCTTTTTCCCTCGACTGTACTGTGCTGGCTTCCCTCTTCGCTCGGACAGTCGAGCCCTCTGCTCTCGTTTCTTGGTTCTCCAGTATTCTCTCTTTTGGGCCAGGCTGGCATCATCGTATTCTGAGGCAGGGTGGTGGCGGTGGGACGCGGAACCACCTTTATCTTTTGCAGTTGGCATGCTGTTGCCAGCTTGGACAGCTCATCAGTTCTCATCCAACAGTACGGGTTGGTTCTTCCTTTGTCACACTGATTCAGTCCAGACTCCTTCACTGCCATTTACTCACATGGTGTCCTCCTATATGATGCTGCTGTAGGTGGTTTTCCTCCACTGAGCAGCGGCCGAATGTCTCAGACATCACATCAGTCTGCAGGTGTCCTGAGGAACAGAAGAGAGCTCTTTGTTACATCTCATTTTATAACAAAAGTGTGAGTCAAGCATTTATCATACAAAGTAATTTAATATAAATGTATATATTTGCAATCGTTGAAATGGAGCAATCCCTCAGTTGCCACTTTATTAGGTACACCTGTACAATCCACTTAAATACAAAAGCTATCCTTAGAGAGATTTCAGTGCTCAAGTGAGATATATTTCAATTACACCCACATTGACTCACTTTTTGGGGGTATACCTTTACAATATAATGCAATCCAATTGAACAGCCCTGACGAGTCTCTTATTAAAAGATTGTAATGTTCAGTTTTGTGAACAGTGTCAGGGAGGAGTTAAATTAACAATCAATATGTGATATTTGATGTGACAACTACATCCGTTGCGATTATCCAATTCAAGCTTTTCACATGGGATAAATCATAAGGCTTACAGATGTCTGATAGTTCATGTTCAAAACGCAGGACATCACAACAAATCATTCCCCATGCTCCTTTTGCAACTTTTCTTCTTTCTGACCAAAGATCACTTCGGGTGTCACAATATTGCGAGTGTCCCCCATTTCCACTGAAGCCTTGTTCAAGACGGATCAATGCAAATGAAGACAATGCACGAGCACCGAGACGCCCATTTGCACTGTCACAACACAGTGCGCGAGGTCCACGTGAGACAGACAAGCGTCTCTAAACGGTAACGTATTGAAATGTGGCATCCGGACCCATCCGCACAAACCACGTTCGTTTCCCCTCTGCATCTGTGACCCCGACACGTCGCGTACGGAAAATGTGGAAGCTACAGGAAGCAGGAAGGAAGCGGAGTGACACTGTCCCTTTAAAGCTGTCCCTCACTAACACTAATTCTGGCTGTCGAGGGCCATTTTTACCCTTTACTCTGGCTCTATTTGATCCCAAGCGCAGCCAGTCGACCCGGCGGAAGCACAATCGATGTTCGAGACACAAATCCGCTGAGAGAAATCCCCACATTTGCGCGTAAATGGCGCATCAGGCGCAGTGTCTCCGTGCGGCACAATGGACAGGCTCTTCCTCCTCCTGTCCACACGGACTGCCTGAGTCTGCTGCCTGTCGAAAAGACACGAGAGAAGCCGAAGCGCTACCGCGGGAGAGCAGGCCGCTCGAAGGCGTGTGGAAGAAAAACATGCACATCAGTTACCTTTCTGTTACACATAACTTTCCGGGACAGTTTTTGGACACAGATATTTTTAGTGCCCGGACACTGCAGCTACTTTCCGCCTGCCGAGCTCTGAGGCTGCCTTGACAACGCTCCGAAAGTACCAGGATGTGGGACCTGGTTGCTCTCTCGCTCTCGCTCTCTCTCTCTCTCTCTCTCTCTCTCT